TAGGGTCAGTTTTGGGGTAGGGGTTAAGCTTGGGGTTAGGGTTGGGGTTTGGTTTGGGGTTGAGTTTAGGGTTAGGGGTTTGAGTTGGAGTCAGGTTTCTGGTTGGAGTTAAGTTTATGGAGCTGGGCACAGAAGTTAGGGTTAGGGTTATGGTTAGGGTTGGGGTTAGGGTTGGGTTTCGGTTTGGAGTTAGGGTTAGGTTTAGGATTAGGGTTAGGGTTGTGTAAGGGTTAGGGTTGTGTTAGTGTTAGGGTTGTGTTTAGGGAGCTGGGCACAGAGGTTACAGTTAGGGTTCATGTTGGGGTCAGGCTTGGGTTAGGGTTAGGGTTGGGGTCAGGGTTAGGGTTAGGTTTGGGGTTGTGTTTAGGGACCTGGGCACAGAGGCTGCCCCTGAGCTTCTCCATCCCCTCAGGCAGCTCTGCGAGCCCCGTCTGGAGCCCACCTTGATGTAGAGCTGCTGGAACTCCTCCAGGTTGAGGATTCCAGTGGGGCAGTCCTTGAGGAACCCCTTGTACCACTGCTTCAGCTCCTGCTCGCTGAACTCCGTGCTCCTCACCAGGTCATCCAACATCTCCGGCGCCAGCTTGCTGCTGTGCTTGCCCATGGCTGCCCCTGGCAGGGAAAAAAACCCACCAGATGTGGAGAGGGATGGTCCTGCCTGGCTCTGCTCCACCCTGTGTGCTGGCTGATCCCATATCCCGCTTCCTGACCCCATATCCTGCGTCCCCTCCTGGGGGAGATCCTCCTGGCTGAAGGGTTTCTGTGCAGGGCGGTGATTTTGGCACTGGGAATGTGATCTTTGGTTCTGGAGATGTGAGGGCTGGCCCTGGAGCATCATCCCCATCCCGTGAGCTCGTTCTGGGCTGCAGGAAAAGGCTCAAAAAGCAGCTGAAAATTCAGAACTCATTCCCTGGCCTTTAGCAGAGCATGATCGTGGAATTCTGGAATGGTTTGGGTTGGAAAGGAGCTCAGCACCACCTGGGCCCAGCCACAGCGCCACGGACGGTGTGAAAGGTGACAAATCTCAGCAGACCCTCACTGGGGTCCAAACTGACCCCAAAACTAAACCCTASCCCAAACCCCTTTGCARAACACCCATYCCTAACCCTAACCACAGCYCCAACCCCAATCCTAACCTTAAACACAACCCCAACCCTAACCTTAACCACAAYCCTACCCTTAATGCTRCCCAAACCTTGACYCTAACCCTAACCTTAACCCTAACCCTAACCTTAACCCTAACCCTAACCACAACCCTACCCCTAATGCTACCCAAACCACAACCCTAACCTTGACCCTAACCCTAACCTTAACCCTAACCCTAACCACAACCCTACCCCTAATGCTACCCAAACCACAACCCTAACCCTAACCCTAAACTTAACCTTAACCCTAACCCTAACCCTAACCCCAACCCAGGATGGGTACAATGAACACCTCCCTGGCACCATGGCAGTGTCCAGSCGGTTCTAGCAGTGTCCAGCCCGTTCCTGTCCACCCCTGGCTGGGGTTGGGGTCTGGCCAGGGCGCTGCCCGCGGCGGGGAGCCCCGGCAGCRTGGGCAGCGAGCGGAGCCGCTCCGATCCGCGCCGTGCCCGCTCCCACGCAGCCCCGGCTGCCGGCGCCGCTCCGCCGGAGCAGCATATGGCTCGCCCGCAGCTCCCGGAGCTCCTCTCTCCGCAAAGTTGAGGAGAAGTTCACCTGGAGCTCGACCAAACGCCGTTTCCTCTCATGGGTGCTGGCTATGTGGGCTCGGGGGGCGCGGGGGTCCCCTGGGATGGGTGATTTGGGGTTCCGAGTGGTGCCAGCCAGCCCCGCTGCTGGTGAATCCCACAGGAGGCGGCTCCTTCCTGCCCCATCATCCCACCAGCATCTGTCACCGTCTGCCGTGGTGACAGAACCCAGCAGCCCTCGGCGCTGAGGGAATGTCCCGACACCCACGGAGCACCCGGCTTCCCCAACGACCCCAGCCCAGCTCCGTGAGCCCCCCCAGCACCACGGGCCGGGTCTGAACCGCTGGGATTGATCATAAAGCACGCCTGGCGCTGTACGGGGCCAAACCTACCACGATCCGCGTCCTCCCACACCACCCCGGCAGGAGGACGCAGCCCCTCACCGCACCCCAGAGCCCTCCAAGTGAGCAGGAGGACTCCAGAGCAGCATCCTTTGCCCCACAGACCCCGATTCCCTTTTCCAAGCACTACCCAGCCGTGCCAGGGCAGGGAACAGCGCCCAGAGGGGCCACCACACGCTCACCCCAAATCCCCGGTGTGAACATCCATCGATGGCTTCCCATCCCAAATCGGGACAGAGGGGTGTCACCGCGGCCGTCCCCTCCAGGGCTGCACCCCGGGCGGCACGGAGCACCCCAGAGAGCCGGGAAAGGGCTCGGGGCACGGATGGGGGCACCGGGATGCTCTGCCCACCCGCGGGATGGGATCGCTCCGGGATGGAAGCAGCTCCCGGCGGCACCTGCCCCGACGGCGGATCCGCACGGGGAGCGGGATCCCGGCCCCGACAGCCCTTACCTGCGGTGCGGAGGGGGCAGCGGCGGCTCGGCGGGGCCGGGCGGGGCTCGGAACCGCTGCCGGTACCGGAGGGGCCGCGGTCCAGCCGCCGGCGCAGCCCCCGCCGCTCCCGCCCCTCTTGTAACCGCGGACCCCCCGCCCCCCCGGCGGCGACGCGCGGCCATTGGCTGCCAGCGCTGTCAATCAAGAGGGAGGGGCCGCGGGGTGGGGGTCGTGGTGGGATGATGGGGGGCTACCGGGATGCTGGGAGGGGCGATGGGACCGGGGGATGCGCAGGAACATCGGGGGATGGTGGCACTGGGATGCCAGGGGGTGCTGGCCCCGCTCTGCYCGCCCTGGGGACACCGGGACGCAGTGACACCCCTCTTAACGCTTGGCAGAGTTAAAGCTGARGCACAGAGGAGAGAGGGACGAAAAAAAAACACTTTGATCTCCAGAACCAAGAGCGGAATGTTTCCATGGAGATCGCCGAGCGTTTTTCCCGGTGACCTTGGYATCCTGCTGGGATCCCGGTGCCACCTGGGCCAGCCCGCACTTAGCTGGTGACAGCTGAGCCTGGATGAAGTCCCCAGCCAGCCAGGGCTGTCCCCCATCCCGTCCCCAGCGGGGCTGTGGGGTGCTGTGGGGTGCTCAGCCCTTCTCTGTGGCCGCACGAAGCGGCAGAACCGCCCCAGATGCACATGAAACAGGGCTGGGTTACAAAAAACACAAATATTTCCACCGCGGGGGCTGCAGGACTCCATCGCCCCCCACCCCGGGTGACATCCTTGTGCCACATCCTCAACCAGGGCTGGACCCCACCTGGAATGAGGAGGAGATTCAGCCCCACGGATTTTGGGGCACGGGACACGGCTCGGTGTGACCCCAAAGCCTCTCCGTGAATCTCCCCGAGCGCTGCGGGGAGGGATGAACCCCCCCGGCCCCGCTGCCAGCTCTGCGATGTGGAGTAGAGAAGACATCAATTAGGCAGCTCTGCAAACCGCCCGTGCCCGGGCTGCGCAGGGGGACTGAAAAATTAATGAGAGCTTAATTGAAGCAGCGCGGGCTGCCAGGGCTGAGCCCGGCCCCGCTCAGCTCATGGGAAGGGGGTGCCAAAGGGGCACGGAAAGGATTGAACGGGCAGGGCAGCTCCAGGGATGCCCTGGGGATGAGCATTAGGGTGACTCTGTGGTCATGGGGTGTCATTTTTGGGGTCGTGGTGCTGGGATGGTGTCCGGGGGTCGTGGAGGGCTGGGAGAACTCCCACTGAGCTGAGCCCAACACCCGGAAATCGGGGCGCCCCAAACCCCGGCATGAGCCCAGGTTCGGCTGGAATTGGTGKCCCCGGGTTCGCAGAGGGGACAGCACGGTGTCTGAGGGGACAGGAGCCCTGTGACAGCCCCTCGCTMCTGCAGCCACCGCGTCCCCCGGGTGCGGAGCTGCCACGGCCCTGGCGGTTCCTAAATCCTAAATCCGCCCTACAGCGGCTCCGCGGGATGCAAAGGGCTGCAGCTTCCCCCAGCGGCTGCGGGCTGCACCRGCACGGCCCGGGGGGCTGTGTCCTATTGGGGGGACCCCACAGACCCCCTCTGGGCTGTGACGGCGGGATCAGCCCCCCAGAAATCCCAGGGGGCTGTGGGGAGCAGGGGTCACCGCGGATTATCCTTTGTCCCCCAGGTCACCCAGCTGTGACACCGGCTCTGGGTATCGGTGACCCCCAGCACAAATGTCCTTGTGAAGGAGTGGGGAGCTGTTGTCACCCACCCCGTGCCCCTGGGGGACACCTCTGGGTGCCACTGGGCAAGCTGGACCTGGGGTGACCCTAACTCTGGGAGTCCCTCTCGATATCCCCATCCCTGTGATGTGCGGGGAAATGGGGCAGAAAACACAGGAATCGCCCAATTTTGGGGTTCCCTCCTTCCTACGCCGCCCCTGAGAAAAGGGCTCTGCGCCGGTTCGTGCCACCAAACCCATCCTGGGGGAGCTGGTGGGGCACAGAGGGTCCTGGTTTGTCCCCACTGCGGTGGCACCAGCTGGTGTCGGTCCTTGTCCCCCTCCCCGCAGAGGGGACCGGGGGAAGCGGTGCCACCCACGGGCTGGGGCAGCAGCAAAGGAACATTCGCGTTTCCCCTCCCTCTGCTGCGGGTCTTGGGGGCGACCCGGGCTGGCTCTGACTTGGGGGGGGGGACTCTCTCGATGTCCCCGCGTCCCCCAAACCCAGGGAGCAAGCACCGGACCCCTGTCCCCGCCAGGCCGCAGCTCTCCACCGGCCGGCRCGCAGGGGGTTAAACATCCCCGTCTCCCTCACACTTGAGACGTCACCGTCACCAGTGGCGTGGGGAGGGGGGCCGGGGGGCTATGGTGGTCTTTGTGGTGCATTCGGCAGCTGGCGCAGGGCGGCTCTCGCACACGGCGGGCGGCTCGTCCCCGGCACCCCGCGCTCGCCAGCATCCGCAGACTCCCGGCCGCCGCCGCCGCCCGCCCACGCCGCGGGCTCCCACCGCCACGGTGAGCGCGGGCCGCCGCGGGCAAGGGGACAGGGCTGCCAGCAGGCCTGCCAGCAGGGCGAGGGGCTGCTGTGCCCCCAGGAACCCCGCCGGCAGCCCCTCGCCCACCCCTCGCTGCGCTTCGCACCCCCAGCCCGGCGCTCGCCCGGCCCGGGGGCGGTGGGGTGAGCGGTGGGGTGAGCGGCAGTGGGGTGGCTTTGGGGTGGGTTCGCCGCACCCTGGGATGCTGCAGCCCCGCGGTAGCCCCGCGGTAGCCCCGCGGTGGCCCCGGCTGGGTGCGGGAGCACGGGGTGGGTGCTGCGGCTCGGCTGCCGGCAGCCCTGCGGTAAATCCTGCTGCTCAGCCGCAGCCGCAGCCGGGCGGAGCGGAGCCCCCCGCACCCCACCGGCCCCGCTCGGGGGGCTCACAGCACCCTCCGGCCACGGTGCTCCCGAACCGGGGGGGGTCACCGCGCTGAGAAACCGCAACTCCACCCCGCTCGGGGTGCCCTGGTTCATCCCGGGGTGGGATCTGGCCCCCGCACTCTGATTCCCGGGAAAAGCTGTTCCCCCATGGAAAATCCTTCAGGCACCGAGCGCCCGACCCTGCGGCGGCTGCGGCGGTGCCGGCGCGGCCATGGGTGGGGGACAGCGTCCGGGGGGTTCGGTGGTGGCGGGGGGCACCCAGCGGGCACCCGGTGGGCACCCTGTGGGCGAGGGGCTGCGGGGAGCGGGGCCGGGTCAAGGGGAAGGGGCAGAGAGCCCCCGGCCGGGGCTGCGGCGCTGCACCAGGCTGCGGTGCCCACGGCGCTGCTGCGCCGGCAGCAAAGGGACACAGCCCCAAAACGGTGACACGGGGTGGCCTGAGCCGGGGGCATCGCTGCCCCTCCGGCGTGGCCATCCCGGGCACYGCCGGCTCGGGGAAAAGGTGCTGCTGGATGMAGGATCGGGSTCKGCTTGGAGCAGGAGTGGGGGTTCGSCSCATCGGCTGGGATGTCCCCAAGAAGGTGACACCCGCCGTGGGGTCCCCGTGGGGCGCGGGATGCTCGTGGGGAGCGGGCAGAAGAGCAGGTTCTGGAACGGAGCCGGGGTGCAACGAGGCCACCGCAGGGAGGGACGGAAGCCGGGGCCACCTCGGGTGTGGCTGGGGACAGGGATCCTGCTGTTCCCTGCCCTCCTCTGGCAGCGCGCTGCTCTGGGAGCGCTCCCGGCTYGGGGGTGTCGCTCCCGGCGGATTTGGGGCGCGCAGTTCCCCCAGTCGGCAGTGGGCACTGAAGGGAGCCCCTCGCCCRCCCCGACAGCCCCCCCGGGAGGGTCGCGCCGTGGACCCCCGGGCCAAACCCCCCCTTCCTGTGGGGTTTAAGCACCTGGGACCGAGGGAACGGTGCAAAACCCCAAACGAAGCCAGCCCCCAGCAATCCCTGAACCCCAGCTGGCACCAAACCCTGTGCCACGGCTCCGGAGTCACCCCGGGCACCGCGGGGACCCGTCCGTGCCCCCTCACCGGGCGCAGGCAGAGTTCAGCGGTGACAAATGCCAGCCCCGTCAAGGACAACGGTGGCACGGGCAGGAGGGTGCCCGCACGCCCCTCACAGCCCGTGGCCAGTGCCAGAGCAGAGCAGGTGCCAACCTCCCTTCCTGCTGACTGACCCAGCACTCCAGGCACCCCCGACACCCCAGGGACACCCTGCACCCCTCCAAAACACCCCAGCACCCTTCCAAAACACCCCAGCACCCTTCCAAAACACCCCAGCACCCCTCCAAAACACCCCTGCACCCCTCCAAAGCACCTCAGCACCCCTCCAAAACACCCCAGCACCCCTCCAAAACACCCCTGCACCCCTCCAAAACACCCCAGCACCCCTCCAAAACACCCCTGCACCCTTCCAAAACACCCCAGCGCTCAGCAGGGTGAACCTCAGCTGGGGTCACTGTGCCACAGCAACTCTGGGTGCATTTGGGGTACCCCAGTGACCCCAAAAAGAGCTGGTGCAGCCCCAGGGTAGAGCCACCGCTTGCCGGGCCTGGGAGGAGGAGGAGGAGGAGGAGGAGGAGGAGGAGGAGGAGGAGGAGGAGGAGGAGGAGGAGGAGGAGGAGGAGGAGGAGGAGGAGGAGGAGGAGGARG